GGTACATGTTAGAGAAAACTGAAAAGTACATTTAAAAGAATCAAACTAAACAAACTCATTCTGGAACTACCCATAGAATGTTTATTAAAGGTAGATTTTTAACATATAACTGGATGGCTATTCTTTTGGGCTATCATGAAATAAATCATTTAATGGGATATTAGATTTTATTATTCTAAAGTCCCTAGGATTCCCAATTTAGGCCTTAGGGACTTTATTTATCTAATCCAAATAATTGAGTCTGTAATTCCTTTCTACTGCAATTTGGTTCTATAAACATAGTCTACACAGTAAGAGGAGAGACAGCACAATCTTGTAGAGACATGAACAGGAGAGGAAGGGAAAAGCAACCCAAAATCTCTTTTCTTATTGTGTTTAAGGTGATGGATCCTTATTTTCTAAAGAGCTTTTGAAGATACTAAAGTATCATTGGCCTTAAACAAGGAGTCTTCTCTTATACTGCATGCTAAAGAAAACCATTTTTTAAAATAAAAATCATTACCCAAGGATATGCCCATTGATTTTTAGAGAGAGGGGAAGGGGGATAGGGAGAAAGAGAAATATTGAGGTGTAAGAGAAACATGTATCAGTTGTCTTTTGTATGGGCCCCAATGGGGATAGAACCTAGGTATGTGCCCTAACGGGGAATTGAACCCATAACCTTTTGGTGTACAGGATGACACTCCAACAAATAGAGCCATCCGGCCAGAGCAAGAAACCCTTTTATCCTATCAGTGTGGGGGTGGCTCAAAGAGTGTTGGTAAACACTTTCATTGGAATTGATGATATCCCCATTTGGGGGTTACCTAGTCCGTTTAGGATTGAATTGGTCAAGGAACTGAAGGTAATCCTTTGCCTCCCCAGAGAACAGTAGGAGTTATGATCCCTGGGCCTTTCTCCTTACAGGCTGCCTTGCTCACAGTAGACCTTCTTTGAGAAAGCTGAGGATTTTTCCAGGCTGGTAGGATAGATTTTAAAAGGTATAATTCAATGACCAGACACATACTCACTAAGCAAACCTGTTCTTCCTTGTCTATCTCAACTGTCCATGATTATGATATGTGTGGTCCAGCGGCTGAAATCATGGTGATTTTTCAAAAATGCCAGTGTCAACATTTTGCCTTGACAGTATATCTGTAACTACTAATAATGCTGTTTTGGGCTGACTCAGTTGCTTTGAAATTGCAAGGCTCTGTTATGAGTAAATGAGAGGCAACCAATTATCTATAAAATAATGCCTCGCACAGAGGAGAGTTTGATGAATTACGAATGAACTCTGCTGACACAACAGAGTATGGGAACCTGCCCTGCTCTGACTTTCCTCCAGAGCTGGGGGCGATGCTTGCACATTTTACAACCAACACACCCCACTCACTTCCAACATGGGCTGGAAGTGGGGACAGGGAGACGACAAAACCTTCCCTCACTAGTACACACCTCATCACTTTAAAGTTCAGTAGGACATGTAACATGGGTGTTTAGGGGCAGAAAAACCTAGTATTAAGTACCTAAATAAAGAATGATTATGTTCCAGGAAGGGCACAAGATAAGGTAAAGAATGCAGACCCACTGTCATAATGTGATTTAGAACCCAGACTGAAAGAGCAATGGCAGAAGCCTCCTCCCACACTCAGCCCAGTGTGCGGGGAGGCAGCGCATCATTTCACCTACACAGATGGCAGGTAGAGAGTTCCTGGAACCAAGGGATGGTCAACCTCATCAGGGATCTGTCAGGTGGAGAGTGAGACAACTGCAGCAGCTTCATTCAGCAACTCTTAGAGAGCTGGCTTGTTCTATGCATGGCACAGACAAGGTCTGTTTTCCTCTATTGTTTAAGAAACTGCAGTTCAAAGTAATTTTCTGCTAGGCAAGGGACACAGAGAAGGGCCAAAACCTCCTGCAGGTTGTAGCGGAGGATCAGGAGAATTCTTCTACAGAACTAACCTAATGTAGATGCCTTCAAGAGGCTGAGGAAACAGTTGATGGTATTGGAATGTTTATCTTTGTGGCCCTATGGCAGTCCTGTCATGCAGAAGGCGAAGAGATTAGCCAAAGAACACAGATGCATAAGCCACAGACAACAAACAGTATGGTGATGGGAAGGGGGGAGGTCAAGGGGGACACCAGTAATAGTGTCAACAATAACATTAAAGTTAAAAAAAGGAAACTGGCAGAAAAAAAAGATACAGAACAGGATTGCTACTGACTGAATGATTTGCTAGGCATTTCCATACCAAACATTCAGCAGGGAGCAGCTTGTTGCCTATTATAGTCCATTTTCCTATTTAGGGCATCTCTGGGCATAGGTTGCACATTCTTCTTTGCCATGTGTTTGTTCTTAAGGAAGACTAAGGGCAAAGAGAGTGTTAAGGTCAAGCCCTAAACACTTGGCCTCCCAGGAGAAGGGGTGGTTGCAAACAGATCCAATCAGCCAGGACATTGAGTGTCCCCGTGGGAGGCAATGGGCGTGGTGCAGACCTTCCTGCCTGGTGTCCTCCCACAGGGACAGGAGGGCCTCTACTCCCTAGGGAAGCTGACCCTAGCTTTCCCACATGTGCCTCATCTCCCCCACGCACCTGGTCAGCGATGTGGGGAGCACTGGCCTAGGGGCTGGAGCAGGTCTGGAGTCATGTTAGTCTTTAAAGTATGGGTATGTCCAAATATTGCATGGCAGCCCAATTTATTACCAGATTCAGAAGTTCAAGGAACCCTTTAACACTGTATAAACATTGGGTGTATAGATGCATTTTCAAAAGAGGGGGGGTAGGTGTCACAGAGCCAGGTGGACCAACTCACTGAGCAGGTTTCCTGAACAAAACGGTGCCTTTCCCCTCTGTCTGTAAAGAGAGGGACATGCAGTCCCCTTATACAACAGGAAATGATGTTTACTAGTTGTGTCATCACCCATCCGACTGCCCAGAAAACAGGAGGGGATTTGTTTGGTCTGTAAACAAAAGCCCTTAAAGAGAGAAGTTCATGCTAGTTAATTTAAAAACTCACACACTGTGCAATCGCTTGTATAACAAGTTAAGGTAACAACCTTTCTGGTGAGACTTCTAAGGCACATGGATTCACCTGGTAGGCAGGAGATGCTAGGCTTCAAGGCAAAACAGAAGCAAAAAGGGACAAAAGCATACTGGGAACTTGGGTGAGCAGTCTAAATCCTCTTGAAATGTCTAGGAGAACATGGGAAGACAAAGCCCTCCCATGCAGCAAGCCTCGGGAAAAGCCTAGAGCTTTCTTGCCATTACACAGGAAACCCAGACAGAAGGAAAGCCAGCCTAGGAAGCTGACTCTGAGGCATGTTACCCCATTCGGACCGGACATTCCAAAATGACACACTCGCTTTCAGAAGAGGACAGAAGGAGGTTGGCAGGCATGCCCCTAGGCCTGTGTTCTTAGGTAAACTAGCTTGATCCTAAAAAGAAAGAAATGAGGAGGTGAACGGGTGAGAATGAAATATCAAAGACAGCTTCTGCTAGCACTACACGCTGTCCCTTCAGGCAATCGAGTGCTGAGCTGACAAGCCAGTGGCCTGGGGGAATGAAATCAGCTTTCCAGAATGCTAGGGCCTGAGCACGCCCATGGTAAGGAGCAGCGGGCAGTTAAAACTGCATCTTTCTAGTGATCAGAACACTTTCAAAGGGGGGGAGGGGGGGTGCTATCAAGTGCACATACACTTGAAACTAACTTAAAAGGGCTTACTTTACAAAGTAAAAAGGAAATAAATGAATGCGTTTTCTAGCCAAAATTCATGATCACTAAGTGGTTGATTCCATTTTATATAATTCAGTTGCTACTAGTATTTGTCCACTAATTGTATTTAATTAGTACCTGACGTACTTCAACAGGTTATAATATAAACACATTTACATAAAACCAGATGAAAAAAACTATCTAAGGAGGTTTAACAGGGGTGCCAGATAGACTACAGGATGTCCAGTTAAATTTGAATGTCAGATTAAACAACAAATTATTTTTTCATCTAGGTGTATGTATCCCAATATTTCATGACAACCCTATTTAGTCATTAATTTCAGAAGATCCATGATCCCCTTGACATTATATAAAAATTTGGTGTTTATATGCATTCTTAGAAGGAGCTTGGCTATAGATTTCTACCAGCATCTGAAATCTATGTTCTCCTCATGGTTAAATACCATTAATGCAAAACATCATTCTCACCTTGGCCTCTCCCTGTGGCCTGAGCTTCCTAGCAGCCAAAGCTACATGGAAATGCAAAGGGTGATTTACCAACCAGCAGCCGGAGCAGAGGCGTGGCTAACCTGGTCTGGAGACAGCTGGTCCACAGCACCTGTCAGACGGACAGGGGAATTGTGGGCCTTGAGCCTAAGGATGCTGTGACTCAAAGGATTTTAACCTCTTAGACCAGTGGTTCTCAACCTTCCTAATGCCGAAACCCTTTAATACAGTTCCTCATGTTGTGGTGACCCCCAACAATAAAATTATTTTCATTGCTACTTCATAACTGTAATTTTGCTACTGTTATGAATCTTAATGTAAATATCTGATATGCAGGATGTATTTTCATTGTTACAAATTGAACATAATTAAAGCATAGTGATTAATCACAAAAACAATATGTAATTATATGTGTGTTTTCCGATGGTCTTAGGCGACCCCTGTGAAAGGGTCGTTCGACCCCCAGGTTGACAACCGCTATCTTAGATGATCAGGTTTGAGTTACAAACTATCTTGGGCTGCTTTGTGAAAACTGGATTGGAGAAGAGCAGGATCAGAGAGGAGGAAACAAGAGAGAGGTGAGGGTGAGCTGGCAGGAAGAGAAGAGATAGGAGAGGGGACTCACAGGATGGCTTAGGCCTTAGGAATCCGGGTTTTCCTTACTCTGGCTTCTCTGTCTTTTGCAGCCACCAGCCTAGAATGTTGGTGCAGCTGCTTTTCTACATCCCCAACCTGCACAGGGAACCCCTTTCCTGAGGCCCTTGGAGGGTCTCTGTGGGGAGGAGGTGGAGCCTTTACCTGCGTCACTGAAAGTAGGCCCGCAGGGCCGCGGCTTCCGCTGCCATTTCCTCCTCTGATCTCCACAGGGCTGGGGAGTCCGCTCCCCCTTTGTCATGTGTCTGGAGCTTTGGAGAAAAAACAACACAGAATTAGCTCTAATGGATCCTTGAGATCTCCTTGAACAAGTACTGTGGGGCAATTGAACAGAATTGCAAATCATAGGCTGGGAGGTGTGGGTGTGTGTCTTTTAATTGCCTTGGTTGCCAAAATTTGAATATGGGGTGGTTTCATGTATAAAATCACATTTCCAGCATTTGCCATAAAATAACCATATTAGGCTGCTGTTTGGTGTGTGAGAACATGGGCCCCTTCCCACGCTCCAACTCCCCTCTCACCCTGTGGAAACATGATGAAGGCCATCAGTAAGTGGACTGGCCAGCTCCTCAGTCAAGAAACGACAGAGAAAACAGCCAGCATTTCGGTCTCACACAGCTTATGTGCAAGCATGTCCCCTCCCGCAGCATGCCCTGTTTTCTGTGCTCTGTATAACCTTGTGCTGAAAAGGCCTGGGTTGTGGAAAATTTCCCTGGCTGGCCACCACCGGCGCATCGCGAATCCTAATCCACCCATGTCTTTCACAGCCAGCCCTCGGGTTATTTCTTTGGAATTGGCAAGCATTATGCTGAGGTTCTCTCACACCCTGCCTCTTTTCCTAACACAGGATGGCCTGTTCTCTGCTTGGAACTGTCTACCGGGATTGGGTGTAGGAGTCACAGATTGAGGGGGCATCCTGCCATTTATAATCCCCACAAGACGCTAATTTTCTTTTTCAGCCCTCATCATTCATTCATTCATTTCACTTACCAGGCATGGAGCTTGCTGCCTGCCATTATCATTCCTCTCATCTGGCCTGGATTTACCTACCACTTTCTGTGCTTTAGCCCCTCTTATACGAGCTTTGAGTAGTTTTGTTCAGTGAACCAAAATAGCCCAAGCACATTTACAGTAATAATACAAGGGCCATGAGTACAGAGTAAGAAATAAGAGTATGTCTATTAAAAGAGGCTTCAAGCAGGTAAACAGTAAAAAATTAAATTAGGAAACATCAAAATATTAACAACTGATCTTAGTTGAATCATTTAAAAATCCTCTTCAGATGCCCATATTTCTTTAAAAAATAGCTTGTGTATGTCTCAGATTTACATATAGAGTGGATAACATTTCCATTCTATCAGAGAGAGGGGCTGTTCTCAGAACTCTCCATTTGAACAGCTCAATTTTCCCCTTAATGTCCTACTGCAATTCAGTTTTATTAACTAAATCTGTTATTCCTGTGTGAGACTCTATACACCACAAAATGCTGAAGGTATAACTTCTTCACAGACTGCAGTGTAGTATTTTGTGTTAAGCCATTTGAGGAGAGTGAGGCAAATGATTTAACAGCATCAATGATGGTTAGTATTTAGGATGTGAAGGGCAGTGCCTTTGGTGTGTATTATTTCGTCTTGCATTTCATTGAATCCTGACAATAACCCATATACAAGGCAGGAACTATTGAGCTCCATCTTGCCAAGGAAGAAGGTGAGGTCCCCAGAGGTGCATTCTCCTGTCAGAGATCACCTAGCGAGGCAGTGGAAGCACCAGTGTTGTTCCCAACAACTGATTTTGCCTGTTAATCCATCCTTGAGGAACTCCAGGGCCACCCACGTAGACTGTTCTACACACCCTGCTCCACCCAGCAGGTGCATTTGCCCAAAAGTCCGCTCCTTCTAAAATAATCTTGCTGACTCAGCAAAAACTCTACCAACGAAAATAGTGGGATTTGCTGTTTCAGTGATTGGCTAAATCACTCTAAATCTGACCCAGAGACCACCACCCTGGCAGCTGGCAGCAGATGGAGAAATTGCCCCATTATCTGAGAGCAAACTTTGCTACAGAAGGAAAACAGAGAGGGGACAATAGCCCAGCTCTGAAGCTGAGCTATCTTTCCACCCAGGGGAAGCCTTCCCCTAAATGAGGTTCATTAGCATATAACCAGGCCACAGATATGTTTATGAGGGTCATGGATCTTCCCTTCAGAATCTGGCTGCCAGCACCCTGGTTTTACATCTTGCCACATAGATTTAATTCTCCTTCGTGGAAGAAAACCACATTAAGAAGTCATTTCCTCCCTTGCAGAGGCAGATCTGACACAATTGCTACAGGCGAGTCAAACTGCATTGCCATTTTTCTACTCAAGAACTAATTTTCATTTTGATACCAGCTTTAGATCTGTTATAAATCCATCTAGTAACAATTCAGTAGGATGACAAAGAACAATGCAAAGCTCGGAAAATACGGTCTTCCCACTTCCGGCTCCGCCATCGGAAGGCACAGAAATCAAGCATTTAAGTGGCCTCATCAGTGTGGATCGTAACAGATGAATCCAAATAACTTAGAGCTGGCAAACGTTAATGACTTTCTAATTATTAGGCGACCGTCTGTTATTGACATATGCCTTACAGATGGCAACGTTGTGCCAACGCTTAGAAGTTGTTTACGGAAAATAGGAAATAAATAAAACAAAAACTAGTCATATTTGCAAAGCTCTGTTGTATGTGGTTTTTAAAACTGAGAGGTTTCCCTCCTAAATGCCGCGAGGCAAGCCTGTGGCTTTCTTTAGATCGTCCACGCTCAGGACTTTGGAGGGTTATCGGAGTTGTAGATTCTTGCTGTTTGGTGTGTTTCCCCACCCACCTGCTGATGGCCTGATTGCCTGGTCACTTCAGGCCCGCTTGTTTCCTGGTCTCCACAAAAAGATCCAACACAGTCATGGCTTCAGTCACAGTGCCAGTGGAAGGACTGGGACTTGGAGAAAGCCTGTGTTTCAGTGGAGTGGACAGAAGGAGGTGCCACAAAGAGCAAAGAGATTGATTTTGATGATGTGGCTGCAATAAACCCAGAACCCTTAGAGCGTCTTCCCTTACACCCGAAGGATAATCTGCCCGGCAGGTGAATGTAACAAAACAAACACGCACATCAGTCAACTCCACAGTTCCTGCTCCAGAGGAAGGTCTCTGAAGCCGCTCCCCGGTGTCCACTCTCTCAGTGGTTCACATCCCCACTCCGGAGAATGAATGGAGTGGAGCTGCCCCTGCAGCAGCGTTCAGTGGCTACCGCTCCCCTAGGAACTCCTGCCCTGCAGGGGCTGAAATGCCATTTACACTGGTCAGCGAGGAGGTCAGTGTGCAAAGGCTGTGAGCTCAGTGCGGAGGAACGCATGTGTTGTGAAGGCAATGGGGAAGATAAAGAACGAGCGAGAAGAGAAGAAGGCCCATTCTGAAATGAGAATAAAGTGTGCTCAGGAGTATGACAACAGCTTTCCAAACGGGGACTTTGCCCAGATGATTAAAGATTTTCAGGCAACTTTGGGTGGTCATCCATTTACTCTGCTGATCCTATCGAAGAGCACAGCATATGCGTTTGTGTTAGGAAACACCCATGGAATAAACAAGGATTGGCCAAGAAAGACATGGATGTGATTTCCATTTCTAGCAAGTGTCTCCCCTTTTACATGAGCCCAAGTTAGAAGTGGACTTAACAAAGGGTCTGGAGACCCCGACGTTCCGCTTTGACTTTGCACTTGATAAAACGGCTTCAAATGAAGTTGTCTGTAGGTTCATAGCAAGGCCCCTGGTACACAAGATTCCCCAAGCGGGGAAGCGGCAAGACCCATCCTCTGGGCGGAGGCTTTTCTGGGGAAGCTCAGATGCTCCTTGAGGTTGTCCTGGCTCTGAGGAGAGGGAGGAGCCTTTAGTCCAGCGTTCTCAACCTGTGGGTCGCGACCCCTTTGGGGGTCGAAGGACCCTTTCACAGGGGTCGCCTAAGACCATCGGAAAACACATATATAATTACATATTGTTTTTGTGATTAATCACTATGCTTTAATTATGTTTAATTTGTAACAATGAAAATACATCCTGCATATCAGATATTTACATTACGATTCATAACAGTAGCAAAATTACAGTTATGAAGTAGCAACAAAAATAATTTTATGGTTGGGGGTCACCACAACATGAGGAACTGTATTAAAGGGTCGCGACATTAGGAAGGTTGAGAACCACTGCTTTAGTCTGACTCTGGCTGTGGCCTGCCACCCACGCCCTTGGTCTGGGCACTAATCTGTCTTGTACTTTAAAAAAGTTTCTGGGACCTCCTCCTTCCTTGCTGTTTTTTTGAGGTCCAAGAGGATCCCTGCTGTTTTGTGTTTATACATTGTGTCTAACAACAAAGCAGGAGGAAAAAAGAACACCATGCTCAACCCTGGCTGCTCACGGGAATCACAGGAAGAACTTTAAAAACTGCTGATGCGGGCTCCTCCCCAGGGATTCCCATTTAATTGGTCTGGCGGCAGCCTGGGTTTGGGAATTGTTTTCAAATTTCTCAGGCAATGCTAAGATGCACTTAACTGTTGAGAGGCAGTACGTTTGGGGAAAACCGTCTGTGTATGTAGATAGAGCCGTGCACATAAGGAACTGAAGCATTTGTCTTTAGCCTCCTGCTGGCGGCCCTGCCAACAGGTTTGAGGCTGTCCTTTGCAGACTCGCTGAAGCCTGCTTTGTTCTGCACGCACCCTGTGAGAGGAGAGCCTGGACCACAGGCCATGCCAGCAGCCCCGGGACACTGATCTAGCTCAGAAGCCTTGGAATGGGGTTTCGGTCTCTGCAGGAAAAAGGACCCTGGGGAAGGTCCTGGAAGAGCCACCCAGGTGACTTGGAAATGAACATGCTGCGGTTTGGAGTCGAGTTCTGCTTTCCTGAGGCAACCGCAGAGCCTGGTGGCCGGAAGCCATTGTCTGGCTCGCTGGGATAGGCCCTATGATCCTAAGCAATGGCTTATGGAAAGGCACTGTTTGCCTTGGGTAAGCTTTAATGAAGGGGCTTCCCTCCTATGAATCTTCTAGATTACCTTTAGCTGTCTGCAGGGACAGGCGGTGACCATGGATTAATACACCAGATATTTGTTCTGTCCTTGCCCTTAAGCACTGAGCCAGCCAGACCCCTTTCCTGTCCTCATGGGGCACCCAGGTAAAGAGGGGAGACACCGAATGGTTAATTGTGAGTGAGATGGACATTACCAAGTG